CGAGCTGTGCAAGTTGGAGGACATGTATGTATTCAGGAAGACAGCATCAAGCAGGAAACATATACAGTAGATCATAGATAAACATGCATATAGAAAAACTAGCATAGATTAGCATAGACTGCCTTTGAACCACAGCACCATCTAGTGCTCAAAAGACAATATTACATTTCTGAATGTCAGTAATACAAATCAGTGCATATCAGAATAGGCTGTTGTATTTCCAACACCCCTTCTCAACAACATATGCGTTGAAATATGACATTCAGCTTCTCTTGAAGGAAACTGTGACGATCCTTTGGCAATGACTTGGTGTGTGCACTCGCAGTCATTTCTTTTGATAAGCAATATTGCATGTCGATAATAGCTTGCACGAGTGTTCCATTAGCAGATGATACTTCACGTCAATGTGCTTGGTTCTAGTGTTGACCCTTTCTGATTGTCAGCTTTATACATCCCCGATTATCTTCAAAGATTGGGATGGGGTTTTAAAAATACTTAGATTCAAATATGATTTGGCTTAAGAGGAATAAATAAATGGGCCCATGATTCAACATATGACCTTGTGCTTGCATGAATGGGACTTAGACATCCTTTTGCTTTGTCCTTGAAATCTGAGAGCAATGTCAGAACATGAGAGTATATTAGTGTGAAGAATGTCTATAGAGAAGATCTGTGTCTTTCAAAATAGGTTGAAGTATGTCATTTAGAAATGTACATGACATAGTAGGTTGGTCAAGCCATATTGAAAGTATAGAACCTCATTATGTCAATTTAAAGTCAGAATATGGATATAAGGAGAGAGAACCTCTAAGGAAGCATGCATTGCATCGATACTACAGCTCAGAATACTCAGGCGCCTCTATTGAGAAAGACAATCAGCTGATCACTCATGTGTTTGTAAATAACTGAGGCACATAGTACATAGTAGTACTTTACATCACTTACATCACTTCCTGTTCATTTATGAGTTTCTGAATGAGTAGTAGCACTCAGTACAGAGGCTTCTCCCCATTCAGAAACTGGTTGATAGTAAATATTTTCTGAATGAATGAGAAGCCTCTGTACTTTCCATTCATTTGGAACAGAGGCTGCAGACTCTGGGTCTTCAATTTCTTTTTCTATTTTAACAGGGAAATATCAGGGGGCTGTTTAGACCCCTAATATTTGCCCGAAGCCCCCACCCACAGTAAAAAAAATGAAAAATAAATAATAAAACATTAAAAAAACATAATGGAGGTGGGGAGCATGACGTCATATGACGCCGCGCATGCACTGCATTGGGTGACGTCACACACCTGTTGGGGGTGGGGCACATTTTTTTGTTCTTGCCTCAGGCGCAAACTGAGCTAGCTACAGCTCTGATTGGAAGTATAACAAATAGTATGGATATACTATGATCTTGAAACAGCTGGTTTAGTAGGTAGTAAAAGTATTAAAGTACAAAGAAATGTAAATCAAGTTTTAGGAAATATGGTGATGAAAACGGCTACAGTGCTCGGACCGTCTATCACTCATTTACAAGATGCAACTTTAGAATTGGTGACAAGTGATCAACATTTTCAGATAGCCAGAGCATGTTTAGAAATCCAGACAAAATGTTCCACTAATTTTAAAATAATGGCTCAGGCATTCGAAAGTGGAATAACTCCTCAAGGAATCTTACAAAGTTTGCCCAAAGAATATGAATTTGCAATAAATCATACAGATTTACTGGTAAGTAAATGGTTTGGCTGCAACCATGCAAGTGAATGTTATAGTACTTTAATGATTCCTGTAGCTGGTAAGGAACAACTATTAGTTCCAATTATCATATTAGGATTACCTGTAAGCAACACTCAATTGTTATTTTATCAACTACAATATACAGATATTGCTCTTGATGAAAGAAGTTCAGAGCTGAAGCAATTAGATCTGTCATCTTGCTTACATTTCCAAACCAAAGTGATATGTTTGTCTAATTAGGATAAAAATATATTTCATTCTTGTTATCATACTTTATGTTCAGCAAGAATTGAAAGTTATGACATCTTTTGATTTAATTACTCTAGTAGGGAAGAGTAAAGTATGTTTTCAAATTATTATCTACAGGGACTTCTGCGCTTGATTAATCTTAGAAAACTGGGCGTTTCTCCTTACAGCTGCTCACTTAAATTGGCTGCATGAGCCTGCATTAATATCATTCAAATATGTGAAGCGGCGCCCTCACCCATCAAGTAAACAATATTATTATTTGTTTACTTGATGGGTGATAGCGCCGCTTCACATATTTGAATGATGTTTTCAAATTATGTCAGATGAAGAAAAGGTCAAAGTTTTCTTTTCATCTTATGTATATTCAAAGAACATTAATAGAGGTTTGTATTGTATATAAGGAGATCTCCTTGCTATTAGTGTTAATGGAATTAGAGTAAATATTACGAACACGCTTATGCGAAATATGAGCGCTCTTCCTATACAATATAACATATTGCAAGTAGATACATTCCCATGGAAAAACTCGACAAATATTATCCAAAAAGATAAATGATTATTAGCAGCTTTATCAGAAGAATTACAAAAAGTGGATATCTTGTTTCAACATGAACAAGGACCTCTTAAGGAAATTGAACATGTATGGTCAGATTACTCAGGTTATTCCTGGTGGTCTAAATGTAAACATACTGGGGTTGATTTACTAACCTTATAAACACACCACGGACATGTATACACCTCTGTAGTGTGTTCCCTCCCAGCATGATCTATGGGTGGAATCTAAACACCTTTGTAGTGTGTACACACCCAGCAGGTGTGTTGTGCAAAGCCAAGCATGAATTGCAAGGTGATGTTGTGTAAATTAGCTCTATGTTGTGTTGCTTGCGTTGATGAATGCAGGAATGTAAATGCATGAGCTAACCATTTTTGTCTAAACTGTGAAGCAGCATTATATATGCATCATGTGCATGATTTTTCCATATATGGCATTAGTGGAAACATGCTTTTAGAGACTTTTTGGTTGATAAATACATTTTGCTGTGTGAAAATCACACGCACCTGGTGCGTGCGTGTGTTTAGGTTAGTAAATCACCCCCACTGTATCCATGTGGGGAAAAACATTACTTACATCTGTGATAGGAAAACATTTTGTTACATCCTTTAATTTTGTTATTCATTATTATTGTATTGTGTATATTAAGTCAAATATGTTTGATATTTAGAGTGAAAACAACTGTATAATGTAATCAAAGTAGAAATAAGGAAAGAAGAAGATATATTGAAATAATTTATTAGAAGAAAGGTTACGTCTGACACTGCCTTAGGTTCAGAGGACATCACATCTGGAAAAGTCATTTCAAAGCCGGTATGACTGTGATACGCATGATTTGAATGATTGAGAATATAATAATATGATTTAAATATCATATTAAACAGGGGCATGAAATATACTTGGATTCAAATATGATTTGGCTTAAGAGGAATAAAAGAATGGGCCCATGATTTAACATATATGACCTCGTGCTTGAATGAATGGGACTTTGGAATACACAAACATTCTTTTGCTTTGCCCTTGAAATCTGAGAACAATGTCAGAACATGAGAGTATATTAGTGTAAAAAATGTCTAAAGAGAAGGTCTGTGTCTTTTAAAATACGTTGAAGTGTGTCAAGTAGAAATTTACATGACTTAGTAGTTTGGTAAAGCCCATATTGAAAGTATAGAACCTCATTACGTCAATGTGTAGTGAGAATAGAACTTCAAAGTATATGACCTTATAAGATTAGCCTATTGTTATTTTAAAGTCAGAATATGGATATGAGCAGAGGAAACCTTTAAAGGAGAACTATGGGGTTAGGGCTTTTCCCCATAGTTCTCCTAAGGGTAACGGGAGGACACAAACTAGCATCCTCCCGTCACCCAAAGCTCAGTATACTGCAAGCTACAGCTCACGTTATACTGAGACGCCGCAGCCGGAACGGATCCCGACAATTATGTCTGGATCCACCCAGCTGCGTGAGTGAAAGCTGGCTCTGCCTATCTAGAGGCAGAGCCAGCTGTACGCGCCCCCTCCCCCATCCGTTCCGCCATCAGCGCTGGAGGTTTGGACAGGGGAGGGGGGAATCCAGTTCCTCCCCTGTCACTGCTCTCTGCAGGCACAGGATCGAGAAGTGAGCGAGCGCCGATATGTGTTCGCTCACTTCCCGATCTACTGAGCCGACCTGCGACAGTTTCATTGTCACAGGTCGGCTCAGATTATGAGGCTGAGTGAAAATCACTCACCTCATAATTCTCCTTTAAGAAGGAGTGACACACTCACACACAGAAGACTTTGCTATTACGGCTGTTGAAGACTATTTTCGTCTAGAATCCTCATAAGCCAGAAAAACGTCTAAGACTACACACGAGGTGATTTAAGGAATCACTAACTCAGATCATTAAAATATATAGTTCAGAGAATAATTCAATTTGTTTATTCATTGTTGCTATATTATTGTATGCTATTGACTTATAATTGCTATATAATTAAAGTCACATGTTTTTCATTCAACTGGACATTTTTTGATGGTGATTATAATCATGTTAAGATGCTTCAAAACTAAAGTGTCATTCAAGAAAGAATTTCTAACACCCTCAGAGACACCCAAACTGCCTATGCTATCCTGAAAGTCAGAGCATAGGCAAGCCCTAGCCCAAATCCCACAATAAAAGGCTGAGGCCTTAGCGACCGATTGATTTTTCTGGGATGTGAAGGAGAAGGTCATGCCTATGTTTTAATATTCAGAAAGTAGATACAGTTCAAGGAGCTCAGACTGAAAAGAGTTAGCTTTTACTATCTAACCCATATTGTGTAATTTAAACAGGAAGTGTGATTGGGTACGCTGGGTAAAGTCTCAAACTTTTTGTATGCTATTGTTCATAAAAATATGGCATTGTAATAAAATATGCAATAAGAATCTTGGTTTTGCATTGTATGAAATGCAGTAGCAGGTCCACAGGAGGTATAGATCCGATTAAAATGTTGTTTACCTCCAGAGGAGTTCCTGAGTTATCATTACGGATTCTTGTTATTCAAAAGTGGAGAGAGGTCTGCGGGAATCCCAATCCATTCTGGAAGGAAAGCAGCTTCATATTTAAAGATTTGAAGAAAAGGAGAGTCAGGCAGTGTGTAGTTTGTTAAGTAGATGGTTTCACCACCAACTAGATAGCCCACCCAAATACCAAAGCTCCCAATAGTCATAATGGTGTGGTTGCAATGTGCCAGAAGGGCAAAGTCCCGTACTGGAGATCCCTCTTGACCATCTCCAGCAAAGTGAACATCTCCCAATGAATTATTGATGTTTTCTTTACACCAGTCCATCCCGTTACTGGTCACAATAAACAGCGGGCTTTCATACTTGTTCCTGAAATAATCCATGGCTTTTTGTAAATATCCTTTGTCAGCAACCACCCCTTTCCGTGTGTTGGGCATAACACGCACATAGTCACCTCGACGGACATGCACACCCACAAAAGTGACATTTTTCTTGTCACCACGCACATTGTTCAGATACACATAAGACTCTTCTTTAATAAAGTCATGGAATGTAAATTCATGAAGAATCTCGTCTTTTATGTGGTGGTAAAATGTAAAAGACCATGGGTAGCCACTAAGATGAACATATTCTCCTTTAATATGTCGGTACTCCTCAGACATCCAGTTATGAAGTCCATAATTCCTCCATTTGATGCGGTTACTTACTTCCTGGTGAAGTGTTGGCAATCTTATTTTAAAGATCTTGGCCAGCTGGCTGTACATCTCTGGTAATATATAAGCTTGTCGTCCATTCATCTTTGCAAGAGAATAAAGTGTGGCATACTCTCCCATTAGATTACCCAACCGGCCCGCAGCATTGATAGTCCACATACCGGTCAGAGGTTTTGGTTCCCCTATAATCTGTGACTTATTAGTGACGGATTCCTCTGTCCTTGAAAGAAATTCTTTTTTTTGCCCAAAGTTCGTAAACTCTATGAAATCTAATTTGACATAGTATAAAAAGGAGTAGCTTATAATGACCAGAAGAATGAAGATAACTATGCTGTAGAAGAGATGCTTATTCATGCTTCTAGTGGTCTTAGCTAGAAAAAAAATTACAAAAAAGATAGATTAAATTAAAGCAATACGAGTCCTGTTTATCTTCATTTTAAAACATGAAAGCTGAACTACAGTCACACAGGTAAATACACAGTCACTACCGTGTTTCCCCGAAAATAAGACACTGTCTTATATTTTTTTGGGCTCAAAAAAACACACTAGGTCTTATTTTCGGGGTAGTTCTTTTTTTTTTATGTACAATCCACGCTTATTCATGTACAACAGTCTACATGTATTCATGTACAAAAATATGGTGATCAGGGCAATCAGGGGTGCCGTACCTTTCCATGAGCAATTTGCTATCCAATCACTGGCCAGAATGAGCGAAGCGCACTTATACTATGGATTCCTCACAGGCGGAGTGCATTTGGTATCACTCCGCCTGTGACAGGAGTCGGCACTATAGAGGTGCCGCCTCGCTTCCTCTAGGGCTGGCTTCGTTGGCACCGCTGATTCTCTCCCACGGCTCTTCAGGTTCTCCCTTATGCCACCACCGGCCCTGGGAATGGTCACAACTAGGTCTTATTTTCGGGGTAGGTCTTATATTTTAGCAATTCACAAAAATAGTACTAGGTCTTATTTTCGGGGTAGGTCTTATTTTCGGGGAAACAGGGTATACATAAATTGGACCTGGTTTACTTGCGAAAGGAGTTCCATTTCTGTCCACCCAGTTTTGAGATTTACACAGCTCTGCCACACAGCATAGCCCTGTTATGCATGGCAGGAGACCTAATTTTCCTCTCTAGTTTAAGTGTATTTAAAGGTTAAACATTTTTTTTCTGTTTTGACTACTCTGTAAGAGGGTTAAAGGGTAATTCTACTTTTCTGGGCGAATTTGGGAAAATGGAATTACCCCACCTATCTGCTCTCTCTCCCCCCTCCGGCTGCTGTTACCTTTGAACAAACGCTCCTTCCCCTCCATGGCACCTGGTGTATGATCTGTCTCCCGTACACAGCATCTCAGCCCTGCACTATGTATTTCCAATTATGCTAGCAAAAAGCGTTTCTCATTGTTCAGCGTGGTCAGGTGACCATACTGACCAATGAATAATCACCAGTTGTGAGCATAATTTGGTATTATGCTCTGGGAGCAGCAGAGGGGAAGCAGCGTTCATTCAAAAAGTAAGAGCAGCAGAGGGGGAAGAGTGGGCAGATTGGTGGGAGTAGTTCTATTTTCCCAAATTCACCTGGGAAAGTGGAATTACCCTTTAAACCCTCTGTCATGTTTTTAATGCTGTGTCCCTGATTCATCCCTCTATTTGTCCTGGTGACCATTATCAATCAGACCTGAAAGTAAGGGAAAAATCTGAAATTTTAAAGTTGTTACCAGAGCAAAAAGTGAGGGTAAATCATCGAATGGTGGAAAAATGTTCAGCTGACAACTGTCTAAGGTCATACACCTGTCCATTTTTTTCAAAACGTAGGCTAAACGGAAAATAATTATGCGATTCCTGCATCAACACAAACAGTGTGTCGATCGAGGCATTACCGGCACCTGTCAGAATAACCAATCAGGGCGGGCAGCTCATCGGCTGCCAGGTCTGATCGCACAAAGATTTTGCAGCCGGCTCTTTCGATCAGCTTATAGAGGACTGCCGGCTGAAATTGAGCTGACAGCCCCACACACTGTGCGAATTTCATCTGCTACATTAAAAACCGGCCGAAATTCGGCCAGTGTATAGGCACCTTTAGATGGAGATTCCCCCTCACGTCCAGGAAAGTTTCCTCTCACTTCCTGTTGTGCCTGCAGGACAAGGAGAGAAATATCCCCAGCTGGACACAGCAAAAAAAAAAAAAACCTGATGTGTTTTAACCATCTAAAACGAAAAAGGTTTTTGCTATACATACATATTAATTATTTACCCCCCAATCAGCATGCTCTATGTTCACACTGCAGCACAGCTGCTTGACTCCTTAAGCTGTGTCTCCCTCTCCCAGTCTGAGCTATGCTGTACAGATAAGAGGTTGAATGCAAGAGGTTAATACCAAGTCAGATTTGTGCACTTAAAATGCTGCATTAAAGTGACATTAAAGGCAAAAATGTTTTTGCCTCAACACAACGTTAATGAAAGCACTTACCTTAAATGATGTCTCTTAATCGATCATTTATTTCTTTCCTGTAGTTTTCAGCCTTCTCTCCAGCGCTGACTCCTCTGTGATTGCTGGCACTTCCTCTCCCACGGTGTCTGCATGCGGGTGCATGCGTCCACAGACTTACCTTGTGTCTCTCCTCGCGTCCCGGCCGTAAATGTGAACTGCACATGCGCCCGCCCCAAGATGCTTTGCGGCCGTCCGAGCGGTTTCACATTTTCGGACGGGAGTGCGCAGGTAAGCTACAGGCAAATTTAAACCGCTGGCAAAGCGTTTTTTTTGTTTAACGTTTTGCATTGATCTGCTTGCCAGCAGTAGATCTATGCAGAAAAAGCTGAGGGTTTAGAAACCCTTTAATGTACTAATGAATACAGAGCTTTAAAGGAGAATTATGAGGTGAGTGATTTTCACTCAGCCGCATAATCTGAGCCGACCTGTGGCAATGAAACTGTGAAAGGTTGGCTCAGTAGATCGGGAAGTGAGCAAACACATACAGGCGCTCGCTCACTTCTCGATCTATCCGTGCAGAGAAAAGAGCCGTGACTGTCACTCGCTGACTGGCGGAACGGAGGGGAGGGGGCGGGTACAGCTGACTCTGCGTCTAGATAGGCAGAGCCAGCTGTCATTCACGCAGCTGGGTGGATCCAGACATAATTGTCGGGATCTGTTCCGGCTGCAGCGTCTCAGTATACCGCAAGCTGTAGCTTGCGGTATACTGAGCTTTGGGTGACGAGAGGAAGCTAGTTTGTGTCCTCCCGTTACCCTTAGGGCTTTTCCCCATAGTTCTCCTAACCCCATAGTTCTCCTTTAAATTAAACATTTGCTAAGAGAAATATGGGGGTTTTCCATTGCTGTATTGCTGTCCTGCTTCTGAAAATGCTAGTTGCTTCGCTGTTTTGCTTCACCTCTGGTTTCAGTGCTTTTCAGTCACTCACTTGGAACAAATATGAAGGTGCATGACATGTAATTTAAGTGAGCCCACTCTGGCTTACACCCCAACTTCAGCCGAACTAGGGCAGTTAAAGTGTATTTATTTTACAATATTTTTATGAAGTCTCTCTGGTGGGAGAATGTGTAACGTAAGCTAACGAGTTAGCAAAACATACAAATATGAGTAATTGGATGACATTTGTGACATTAAAGTGTAATAAACACAATAGCAGTCCATAAGGTATCGGTTATGGCATTCCTATTTTTATTGCGTGTGCATGAAGCCTATAGAACGTCTCTTGGTAGTCAATGGTAGAAAACAAATATGTAAAAGTGTATGTATAAAATATTCCTGCTTGCCTACGGTTTCTTCCTGATGTAATAAGAGTCCCAGTTGAGTGATTAATCATTGGGCAAGGACCTTTGTAATTATTTTTAGTCTATATTTAAGAGAAAATTGGTCTAGAAGTAGACCAGTTCTGAGGATCGTTATCTGGCTTCTGTACCATGACAATGTGGGCCTTTAACTCCAACATTTTGGCTGGAGTTGAGCTTTAAAATATTTTTAAGGTAACAGCTGTGTTGGTCTTCAAATCCTTCTCTGCATCCCTATAAGCTGCTTGGTTCCAAGGTCCATGCTGAAAATTATGCTTGTAGAATTCAGCTGTAAAATGCAATCCAAGAAGTAAAAGTTACAATATTGGATTGTGTCATTTTAAATGTGGATGTATTTTCCTTCCCGAGAGCCACAGATGCTGCTTCCAGCCTCCCATAGAAATACGCAGGTATACATACAATAGAGCAACTGTCATCTCCAGACCTGAAGAAAAAAAAGTGCCTCTTCTCCCTCTCTATTGTGACACCCTGGGCACAGTCTTTTGATAGAATGCACTCTGTACACCCACTTGAAGAAGGTGCACAGCGCTCATCCTGTCAATCAAGAAACTGTATAAAGAACGCCTTGGTGGTGGGTGAGGAGAGATTCTGGAGGGTGAGAAGATATGCTTGAAACATGTTTTTACCTGCCTGCCATGTGCAAGCAATGTGTGTGACTGTGAAGGGGATGAGCAAGTTTCACTCAGCACCAGACAACAGCAAAAAAAAGGCAGTAGTGACATGCACCATTTGCATAAAGCCTGTCGGGCCTAGTTAGAAATCTAGGCCTGGGGTTAATGAAAGCAATCCAGGATTTAGGAAGCAGGAGGGAGGAAAACAGAGATCGGGTATATAATGTATATCTGGGTGCAAACAGCTGATTAAAGAAGTCAGGTGTTGTGGAAGAGGATGGGATATTGGTGTCAGTAGGGCAATGGTGGACATTAGTGCTCAGTGCAGGGTGGCGGGAGAAACGCTGGTGCTCAGTGGTGGAGTGGGGGTTGGTGCTCAGTAGGATATCTCTCTCTCTCTCTCTCTCTCTCTCTTTTCTCTATGCTGTGCACACCTTTTACAGTGTATACTGCATGCCCTTTGTTCTCTGGATGTTTTGCGCTGTGAGCACAGGTTGCATCCTAAGAGTATAATCGCGCCACGGCCAATATGGGTCAGGAAGTCCTACCACCTTAGTTCTTGAACAATACTGACGCCTCATTCACACACTGTACAGCTGTGCACATCCACTAAGAAATCTGCGCATGGGAGGGCACGTAGCCGTGCACAATTCAATGACAGGACGCGGCTGCACTCTGAACTGCAATTGCACATACATATGAACGCCTTTGGAAGTGTGCAGTCAGCACATAACCACATGCGGCCGCGTCCTGTCATTGAGTTGACCAGGTGGCTGCACATGGCTACATGCACCAGCTGGTCCTCCTGGGAACAGGTTTCTTCATTTCTGCCCACTTTGTCGCACTTCCCTGTGAATGAGGCCTTAGCTCCCATTCACAGCTGGGCATTTGTCGCTCAAAACTAAACACAAAAAATGCTCAAGACAAGCAATCCCATTC